CGGTCATCCGCTCGCCGCTGCGGACGTCCCTAGCCTCGCTGCGGAGCGAGCAGAGCAACGGCGCCCTCCTGCACGACGCCGCCGCCGACAGCCCGGCCGGGACCAGGGGGGGCTTCGTGCTCAACTTCCACACCGACCCTGAGGCTGCGGGCGTCAAGAAGAAAGGAGGCCTGTTCCGGAGAGGATCCCTTCTTGGTAGTATAAGACTTAGGAAATCTGAGTCCAGGTCATCGATATCGAGCAAGCGGAGCTCGGTCAGGAGCGATGCGGCCATGAGCAGAATCAGTTCTAGCGATGCCAACTCTACAATCAGCTTCGGCGATGGTGACTGTGATTATTGCCCCGTGGAAGACCACGTTGATGCCACCACTACAGAAACCTACATGGGCGAATGGAAGAACGACAAACGCAGTGGTTTTGGTATTAGTGAGCGTTCAAATGGTATGAAATATGAAGGAGAGTGGTTAAACAACAGGAGGCATGGGTATGGATGTACCATGTTTCCCGATGGTACCAAAGAAGAAGGAAAATATAAAAATAATGTTTTGGTCCGTGGAATAAGAAAGCAGCTTATACCAATACGAAACACAAAAACTAGAGAAAAGGTGGACAGAGCGATAGAGGGTGCACAGCGAGCAGCTGCCATGGCAAGAACCAAAGTGGAAATTGCAACTTCAAGGTATGTCATTGCAAACTATGTTTGTTCATCGCTGAATTTTCAGAAACAAAAATGTGTTACAGTATGTTGATGAAAAACTCAAAGGTGTAAATGTCTTTTTTGAGTACTTGTTCACCTCTCAGCTTTACATGTGTAAGGCCACTGACTTCAGTGGCGTTGCACATGTGAAAATTAGAACTTAGCTAGTGGAGTACAGATGTTTGCATATGTGCCATAATATACTGTGAAAGCAAATTTCCATTCTCATGCATTTCTGCTTTCAACCTGAGAGCTGCTGCATTATGCCTTCAAAGCTACTTGGAGTACTGGTGAGGAACCGTGGAGAATGTTTTGGGGGATGTGAGGTGAAGATTGGATATCTTTCCATAAACAGGCTCCAGTTACATTTACTGTGTTGATGTTTTTTTGGGTAGCATCTGAGACTCTCTGAAGTTGCCTGTTTGATGTTGAGCATCGTAAGATGCATCTGTTTATCTGAGAGACTGTGGTATGAACAATGAAAGAATAATGATCAAGGCTCTTGTGCTTAGAGGCTGTTGATTCAATTACCAGGGCGGTATCTGCTGAGAGGATTACGAGGACCCTGGTTTTGAAGCATGCTGCTTCTGCAGTCTGAATTCATCTGGATCTTGGGACCACCACTTACAAACAGAAGTGATTGTTGTCTCCCCACCCCCTGACAAGTGCCTGAGATGGGAGAAGTGTACAGGAATTAGTAGTGGGGGGAAAAAGTCATTTTCACTTCAAATTCCTAACCAAAAACCAAGCAGAGCTGTCTGAAATAAAATCATTACAAATGAAATCAATATAGTCAATTTTAATAGGCTTTACTATTAAGTCTGAGAACTCTTGAAAAAGCTATTTAATTTTTAATGCATTCCAGTAAGTCTTGGTGGCCGTTTCTGTGTTGTTTGGTTTAGTTTGTTTCCTTGGACAGGCTTTTCTTGAAATATGTTACAGACCAGAAAGAGAGCGCAGAAATGTGCATGAAAGAAAATCTTCATGCTATTTTAGAAAGAGGATGACACATTACGCTTAGAGCTGAACAACTGATTCCTGATTTAGTGTGGTCACTAGTGTGTGCTCAGTGACTATCTTTTTCCTGACAGTCATAAAGTATACAGAAAAGGCCAAAAACTGCATTAAATGGGAAAGCTTGAATACATGGATGGCTCATAGTGAAAAGTACTTGGGACACAAGCACGAAGAATTTGGCACAGTGTTAAAGAACCTTTCTGAGTACTGGTCACCTCAGTAACTGGAGGGAGGCACATGCTGGGTTCTGTCTATAAATACACGTGAGGCATGCCATGGCAGCGTACCTTACTGGCAAAGCAGAGCAGCCACAGCTGACTGCCAGAAATTACAGGGTCCCCTTCAGGTTCTGTCAGTATGTAACAAGTCCTAGCTCTGAAAAAAATCAGGTGATGGGATGCATAGACAGGGAGAGTCAACACTTGGAGTCCATTTAAAACTATGAAAGCTGTAGTCTAAGACCATGAGGTTACAAGGCATAGTAGCTGTGCTTTCTCTTTAAGAAGGGATATGTCTCTGAAGTGTTTTGTTTTCTGTTCCTTCCCTTCAATTTTAGATGAAAGACAGAGTTCAGATTGCTTCTTTTGGAACAATCCCTGAAAATTATGTTTATTTCTTTAAAAGATGTTTTTGAAAGTGCAACAACAGAAGTCATCAGTTGTGCAGCTGTGGACCGTGGGCTATTCCTTTGCTTTTTTTGGCTGAGAATCTCTCTGAAACAGTCCTGTGACTACCAATGTAGATCGCAAGATTGCGCATTCAGGTTTCTTCTCTCCTAGTAGCTTTTGCACTAAGTGTACTGACAGAGAGTCAGAGAGGCCTGACACCCGATCAGGCACCCTTGGGTGTAAAGATTACATTAGCTTCAGTTGTCGATGCCTGTTGGATTCACTAGTAGGGGTGATGCAACTCTCTGAATCATTAAAGTTTTCAGGACTGCCATTACTGTCGATCATCATAAGCAAGGCCGTGGCATTATGTGCACTAGGGTCTGTCATACCAGGAGTCAGTAGTGGTGACTGTCTTAAGACCAGATCAACTGGAAGAGATTCTAGAAGAGCACTGAGGAAAAAAGTTCTGCTTTGAACAGTTGCTAGGTTCTAGGTTGACCAGATCAGTATGGTTTCAGGGTGAAAGAACTTGCTTCCTCACTGAAACTTGAGGACTAGCCTTGGTTTGTGACTGCTGTCTGAGCTATTCCTATATTGCTAATATATCAGTTTGGAAAAAAAGCAATGTTCTTGCAATGTCTGGCATGAATGTGAGGATGGTGGTCTTGTTTGTTTCCTGATCACTACCACACAGAAAAGTCCAGGAGGAGTGGACTTTTTCTAATTCTCTTCATTTCTCTAAGGTGTGATACAAAGGTGATTCTTCCTGTGTGGCATAACCTCACCACAGAGTGGTCTGCAAAACCTTCTGTATTTCAGAACTGGCATATGTCACCAGCCGTGCATGCTTACTGTAGATTTCCATTCCATTAGTGGGAGAACTCTGTAGATAGACCTTTTCTTACCCCGGAAACCACTGAGTGTCCAGGTTTCTGTTCCAGAGAACTAGAAACCTTGACTCTTAGCCACGTACCTTCCCTTTCAATGCAGCTTTGAGTTGTAAGGTGCTCTTTCTGAATTGTTTATTCCCAAAATGTTTGCTCAGTCAAGTGAGACCAGGCCATGCCCCTCTTTGTAGCTCCCTGCTGGTCATAACAGGTTTGGCTGGTAGTTTGACCTGTGACAGATGTCCACACAGTCATCAACAAGACAAACCACTGTTTTGCTTTATGTTCCCGATTCTTTTTTTTTTAATGTCTAAAAGTCCTCCTTAATAATGTGTAGACTTTCTTTACCTAAAATGGTAGTTTGAAAAGAAAAATCAAGAAATTTTTGAAGAAAAATCTGAAAGTTGGGTTAAATGTTGCTTCTCTGGATCTGAATTTGCATTGGTTCTCCTGACTCAGCCTTTGGGTTTCTGAGGAATTTGTACTGAGGTGTTTCATAAATAATATCGGTGATATCAGGTCACAGAATCATGTGATGCACAGAAAGCTGCTGTATCAGGGAAACAGCACCCTCTGCTACACAGATCTGTACCAAAACAGATTATAAATTTGCATGAATAAAAATTATTTTTAAATGATAGCTCAGCTTCACAGACTTGTGTTATAGTTTTACTGACTATATTTAAGACAAAATATTAAGACACAAATTAAAAATTCCAGAATTTTAGGAATTTCAGAAGTTTAGTAGTTCTCCCTTCATCACAGAATCACAGAATGTTAGATGATTTTTTAAAAAAAACAAACAATTTCTAATATTTTTTTTATTATAGGCAGTAATTAAGTCAAATTCATCTTTAACCAGTTTGTGCAATCAGGTTTACTCTATATGCCTTTTTTGGGTCTTGGTGTCTAACAGAAAAAGCTGCCTTCTAGAAATTTATAATAAATTGTTTTCATGTTTGCTTGAAACAACACAGAAATGGGCCAAATGCTGGAAGTGCCCACTGGGAGATGCCAAGAAGCACCAAGTGTCCACTCAAACAAGCATCAAATAGAAACTTGTTTTGGTACCAAATAATTCTCACTGTAGGGATTTTTGAACTTCCTTCTCATTGTTGTCATGTGTCTGATAAACTGTAGAGGGATACCTCCTTTGTAATGTGAACTGGAGTTATATTAGAGCTTTTCTTTCCCAGTGTGAAAAACACTTATGTTCTCATTTAGAGGAGCTATTCAGGGTACTATTTTGAATTTGCCTTTGTCAGTACTTACCATGGTAGAGACGGTAACATTTTTGAATTAATTTTCAGAGTTAGAATATAAACTCACCTTCTAGTACTTGCTATCACTGTTTTTTTAAATCTATCAGTCCTGTATGTAAATATGTAGCACTGGAAGCAGAAGGAATGTTTGCTTCCATAGAACTGTTCATATACCAGGTTCTTGAAGTCAGTGTGATGGGCTCACAGCTGAGCAACTGAGTTCTAAGAGCATGGCTTTTTTTTTTTTTTTTTTTTTTTTTTTTCTAGCAAATGCTGAACTAGAAATTCTTCTTGAAATCTTGACTCTCCAAAGAAAAAACTTTGCAGGGATGCAGAGAGACAAGAGAAAAGTACAGTAAGACTAAGAAATATGAGTCAGAAGATAGTGTGTGAAGGGAGAAAGAAATCAAAATAAAAAATGTTCCCTTGTTGATATTTTCTGTGCACTCCATTGATCTTTGAGGTTCTAAACAAGCAGGATAAAGAATTGTATCTTCTCCTTTATTTTTTCCCCCCCAGGAACTAAATACTTTTAATTACTCCAAAGTTGTAAGTGAGTTTTAAGTAAGGTGCACTGTCATAATATGCTGTGAGAGCTTCTGACCACCTTGTAAGCAACACTGTAATGGGCTTTCACTGCATGAGCACCAGAGGCCTGGTGAAAGATAATGGTGCCTTTGTGTCAGGCACTGCACAAACAAATTACCCTGTCTAGAGATCTTGTAGCCTGGGAAAGTGGCAATGCCCTACAGATGGAAGGAAACTGCCAAAAGACTGTGATAGGACCCAAGATCAAGATAACAGTAAAATTAATATCTTACAACTAATAACATGGAGCAGTTCCTCCTTGCTAATGAGCTGCCTGTGCTCAGACAGCAGTGACTAGCAAGCCTCCATTAAGCAGAGTGCTGGAGGGGGATTAACTGATGGCTTTCCTGCAGTGATTTCTATTTCAGAGTATCTTTTTTAGACAGCACAATTTTATTTTTGACGTGTTTGTATCCAAGTCCACAGATGCTATGGCTTAGTTTCAGCCTTTATTTTTTTTTTAACAGAGACTGCTGAAACTGTGTTTGTGATGTTGTGTCATGAGCAGCCTGTGTTGTTGAGCACGGCTGCGAGGGAGCCTCAAGGTGGTGGAGAGGCTGCAAGACGAATGGGCAGGAGGCTCAGGATAATGACTCTTGTTTTGTTTGGGATTACCT